TTCAGCAGTGACCATCTAGAGGGGTGGGATAGGGAGGGTGGAAGGGAGACACAGAGGGAGGGGATATGGGGATATATGTATACATATAGCTGATTCACTTTGTTATACAGCAGAAACTAACACAACATTGTAAAGGAATTATACTCCAATAAAGATGTTAAAAATAAATAAATAAAACAAAAACTTGCCAAAAAAAAAAAAATCCACACCAGCAGCCATCCAACTAGTTGCTGCCCCTAGAGATGGGCAGTTGTCAGTGTCCCGAACTAAACATCTGCCTGCAGGGGTCTATCCAAGCTTTAGGACTGAGGGGTGGTATACATTTACAATCTCAGCTGCTCAGCCAGGACTGAGGGAACCATTTTCCCATGCTCTTACTCATGCTCCTTGGTGTTGGCTGGTGTTGCAGGTCAGAGTGACCTAATAGAGCATGTGTAAACGGTGAGACCCAAACCACAGTGTCTGATGAACGTACACTATGACACTAGCATGAAATGGGACTCAGAAGAGCATAGCTCAAAGTAACTGTGAAGTGAGCCAGGCCTGCTGCAGGTCTAACAGTAAAGTATGGTAGCTAGTCTCCAGAAGGATTTCTGAAGATCCACAACTCCTATTGTTCATGGGTTTATGTAGTTGCCTCCCACATTAGGGTATGGGATGGCCCCATTGACTTATTTAATTAATAGAAAGCAGCAGAAATGATGGGCATTTTTGTGTTCTTGGGAACTCTGAGATGTCATTTACAAAATTCAGCTACAGTGACAGAGAGACCTCTGCAGAGGTTCCAAGACTATACTGAGAATGAAAGAGGCCTCACTATCCCTTCTTCCCAGTCAAGCCTCAAGATGATCTTATTTGCAGTTATTAGGCTCCAAACATGACCAGCAAAAGAACCTCCCATTTAAGCCCAGTAAACCAATAGAATTATGGAGGAGATAAGCTGGTGGTTGTATTAAGCTGCCAAGTTTTAAAATGGTTTGGTCCATAGCTCCAGATTACTGAAACAACCAGTAACTGTATTAGTCAGTGTTCCATTTGGGAATCAGAACCACTGTGAACATTGCAGAATTGAGAATTTATTATAGGGGTTAACTGGGACAGTAAAGAACTGAAGAAAGAACCAGAGAATCAGAAAAAAGTTACTAACAAGCCTCCCTGAAATACTGGAGTTAGCTTTTGGTGTTGGATGTTGGAAGCTAAGTAAGGCCAGGAACTAGAGTGGGACCATGAGGGTAGAAGTCTATGGAAGTTTGTTGCCTCTGCATATCTACAAGCTCTGTGAGATTGTTGCCAAGTATCTTGTTATGGGTCTAGGATCATCATGATAGGTCAGCAAAGCCAGCATTCAAGAAGAAGAGTTAGACATGGAGTATGGAACAGTAAGGACACCAGCGCATCTCCATGTTTCTTACTGCCTCCTATCAACCCTCCCTTCAGGCAGTTATGGTAGCCGTCTTACATCTGCCTTCCCAATTTAAATCAAATATCTCTTTTCACCAGCTCTAACCCAAAACCTCACAGCTTCTGTGAAATGTATTTCTATTTTTTCCAAGTTGCTTCAGCAAAGCCAATTCAAACATGGAAGCATGTAATGATGACTTGTTGCACAGCAAGGAATTTCCTTATGTGTAGTAAGTGGACCCTGTCCCTAACATAATAATAAAAATGTAAGCAAACAGGAAGCTATGAGCTCCTGTGACCTGGTAGATTACTCCCTCCACATTGGCTGCATTGACTACAGAACTTCTGGCCCACTCCCATGAGGAACTGTGGAGGCATGTTAAACTGTGCCCATTTATCCACTTACATCCATATCTTGTAAGTCTTTTATACTGCTTGTTTGATGACTCAGTAATAAACCCAAGTGAAAACAATTTAAGGGACCTTACCAATTTCCAAATGATAAAAATAGTTTTGATATTGAATAGAAGAGAAGGAACTGCCATGAAAAAAAAATAGAGACAGCTTTTGTGTGTGTGTGTGTGTGTGTGTGTGTCCAAAGATGTTTATTAGCATCATATATAACAACCACAATCAAATTAAATGTCTGTCAGTGAAGGACTCAAATAAAGCACTGACATCTACCCCTTAGAACAGCATCTGGTCATCCTAACAGGAGTGTAGTAGATCTAGATGTCCAACAGGGAAAAATCTCCAAGATACATTAATAAGTGTAAAAAAACCAAAGGATAGAACAGTGTGCATGAAACGATCCATTTGTGTAAAAAACAAATGTAGAGCTACAGATACATACACATACACACTAACGCATGCCTAAATTTACTAGGCTGATATACCAAAGGGCAGTCATCTCCAATGAGCACCTATGGCAATAGGTGAAGATATGTCCTTTTTATTTGATCTCCTTCTGTTCTATTTTATAAAAAGTAAAACAATACATATAAAAAGAAAACAATTTTATACTGCCCTGCCTAGGTGTTTATAAAATACTGATGTAATGTCCAGAACTCCTACTATAATTCCTGGAAAATAAACCAGGCCAGAGGGAAAAAAGCTTTAGAAGTGGGGCCCTACCCATATATCCAGACAAAACTATAATTCAAAAGACACATGCACCCCTATGTTCATAGCAGCACTTTTCACAATAGCCAAGACATGGAAACAACCTAACTGTCCATCAATAGATGAATGGATAAAGAAGATGTGGTACATATATACAATGGAATACTACTCAGCCATAAAAAAGAATGAACCAATGCCATGTGCAGCAACAAATGAGAAAACTCAAGTGTGTGAGATCAAGAAAAGAATGATTCAAGAAGGAAGGAGCAGTCAACCGTTTCTGGTTACTGCTGAAATGTGGCCAATGAATATAGCAATACAGTTATTAGTGACCTTAATAAGAAAAATCTTGCTAAAGAAAAAATGGGTAGTGAATAAATAGAAAAACTGTGTGTACA